GGTGGGCCGTCAGCTTGTTTGCCATTCTAAGTTGTATAAAAAAAAAGCGTATACGGTTAGCGCAAGCGGGGTTACCATTCCATTAACATCTATTAAAAAAAAAAACAAAAAAATATAGACGACAAGTTGACCGACACAAGGCTAGACTTCTTTATGCCGAATACTAAAAAATATACCAAGTCATCGGATTATTGTGTATTAGTGGTTATAAAGGACCTCTTAGACGAATCGACGACTTGATTCAAACGATCGATACTAACACTTTTTTCGCTGAATAATTAAGTGAATTTTAAAAGAAAGAGTTTCTCAAGACGCCTGTATTATATGCAATGTCATCACCGATTCTGAACCGATTGTAATATTTCTTTTTACAATTGACAGGTTTTATTCCCATGATAGTTCCACATTAATTTTATCATTAAATTCGTTGTTTTTTTGCAACAGGAAATGGTAAACAATCAGTCGACCTGAAAGTGTTATGGCGTGAATTTACAGGGTACAGAGGAATAACACCTGAGTCCTCAGGAATGGTAACGCATGGGGGGTATCATACCGTACGCGTACCGAAGTTAATTTTGACTAATTCGTCCTCACCTATCGTCTTGCACTGGTACCGCGCGTACACCGATTGCAGACGTATCATAATCATCAACATATCGGCTTTTATCTGTCCCCTACAACAGTCCGGTACATAACCCGTTTCGTCAATTCCATTATCACCCATAAAAAAGTACCGTCTGATGAAAACTACAGTCTAATTCCCCGTTTGAATGAAACCGTTGGCTCGTCTCGGGTGTTCTTAAGAGAACCGAAGTTTTTCAATACTTCCCGATCATTAATCATAAGCCTTACTTTTTCTATAGTTTCGAGTCCAAGCAGTCCATCGGGACTATTGTTGAGGCGTCATAATATATTCTGTCAGTCCGTTGGAGCTTCCTAACTCCCAAATGACGTCAACAGTTTTTTTTTTTTTTTTATCTATTACCATCTATATCCTACGACTTTACATTGTGTGAATTATGTTCATTTGGTTAACTAGAGCTCCAATACAATGTTATGCAGAAAACAGCCATTTTTTTATACAACTTAGAATGGCAAACAAGCTGACGACCCACCTGATGGAAAGTGGTAACCGTCGCCTATAGACATGAGCAGTACCATGAACATAACAGAGTATACTGTTTCGCCCATGATACCCCCATGCGTTGCCATTCCTGAGGACTCAGGTGTTATTCCTCGGTACCCTGTAAATTCACGCCATATCGCACCCTTCAAACTAAAACACAGTCATGCAAACACAATGCTTTACAGGACAGAAATGCCCAAGCAAACGACTTTTGTACAAAATCTCCCTCTAGTATTAAATTTTTTTAATGTGTCCAAAGTAAAGTGAGTGCGTGAGTGAGTGAGTTGGACATAAGCCTCCTCCTTGGGGGGTTTGCCAGTAGTTGCCACGCTTGACAGGTGGATTGGCAACCGCAGTTAGAATTTAGAGATGTTTTAAAAGGGACGTTGCTACCCATCCCTTGCTCTCCCTTAGTCGCCTCTTACGACACCCACGGGAATGAAAGGGATGGCCCATTATATGCCGGGACTACACAATGACAAAACATTACAATAAGTAGAATAAAATCCATATATATGAAATAATTTATTAGCACATTTTTTTTTATATTTGTCAAGTCACATGATGTTAATATAAAAAAGGAGAAAAAAAAAAGGAAATGCTATGTGAAATAATATAAAAATCGTTGTTTAAAATGAAAATTTAAACAATTACCATCCAAAATCTCATTAAGACGTATTTAAAAAAAAAATCTTTAATATACAAATTTGAATTTCGAAACGAAAAAAACAAAACTCACAAGTTTGACAGTTGTCAATCAAAATGACAATAATGTTCCGCCATGTTTGCCTTTGGGTTACTAATGTCAAATTTCGAATTCGTTTGCGCCAGAAAACAAGGCAACATAAAAAAAAGAAGATTTGTAAGTTCAAAATATTATTTTTCAGGGTTCCGTAAATAAAGCTACAAAGAAACCCCTATAGTACGGCTATGTCTGTCCGTCTCTCATAAGGTTATATCTCAATAACTACTAACTGTATTGATTTAAAATTTGGAATAGTTTAACATATTGTTGACCCGCACATATTGCAAGTAAATAATTGAAATTATATTTTTTTATACTATGTATATTCAGTGAAATTCAGTAGCAGGTATCAATCCGAACAATTCCTCATAAAACTCCCCATGATACATTTAATAATAGATGCATAGAGATAGTACAGGTAATTAAAATGATTACCATGTGATCCCGGCATAGGATGATCCCATGGATGTCGTAAGAGACGACTAAGGGAATTTAATGATCGAGGGATAGGCAGCAATGCCTCTTAAAAGATCACCAAAATCTAACTGCGGTTGCAACCCGCCTGCTTGGCAATTACTGGCAAAATACTCTTGGGGGGGGGGGGGGGGGGATACTAATAGGGTGAAGCCAATGTTCAGCAGTGGACAATTAACAGAAGCTTCGAAGTCTTCAGAGTAACAATTATTCGAGTAAGAATCAACGTAGGTAAATACAGTATTTTTGATCTTTACAATTTGGACATAGCATCTGAAATATAGATGTTACTTTTGGATCCGTTCCAAGTTAGTAACACGAGTCGAGTTGATCGCCTTGTATCGACACAATGTTTTCACAATGGGCTCCTCGATCCGACCTTTATGGGGTGAATTGACTATAAATTACAAAATCAATATAATTCTCCATCTTATCCAATATTCAACGAATTCATCTCTCACGGGCCACCTGATGGAAAGTGGTAACCGTTGCCTATAGACATGAGCAGTACCATGGACATAACAGAGTATACTGTTTCGCCCATGATACCCCCTATGCGTTGCCATTCCTGAGGACTCAGCTGTTATTCCTCTGTACCCAGTAATTTCACGCCATATCCCACTCTTCAAACCGAAACACAGCCATGCAAACACAATTGCTTCACGGTTGAAATACGAATGGGACAGAGGTACTCAAGCAATCGACTTTTGTACAAAGTCTTCCTCTGGTATATTTTTGATATTTTGTATATTGTAATTTTACTGAATTTTATGTTATTTTACGGAAATTTATACTGGTATCCTTTCTTTAATTTCACTACCATGATTATGCATGTAATTACAGACATGTGATACTAAGGCTGTGCGTTCTTCACTTATAGTCTTCAATCTCTGATTTTTTTAGTTTCCAACCTTTTTAGTTGACAACGCACCGTTCCTACACACTTTATGGTAACTGCTTACTACCAGGCAGGCCTTATTCTATTCAAAAAATATATACAAAAAATATTATTCTCTACCTATCAGAAAATAAAATATTTTACCTCCAAAATTTCGTCTCCAACTTTAACGGGCGGAGAGGCTTTCGCAGCACCACCTGCAGGGTGGAGTCCGCAAACGAACACGGCCATGCGACTCCTGTCCCTGTGGCCGGCCAGGCTGAGTCCCAGTCCAGCTTTTGGGGTCCGTTCTAGCTTGACCGCCACCACGCTGTCGCCGAGGTTTGCGTACTTCTTGCGTATTTTGTCTGTGGCCAAAGAAATACAGTTTACTAATAGTACGCGCTTAGTAATGACTCGTCTCGACTTCGCTAGTGAAAAACGTTAAATTTTTTTATATCATAAAGGTGGCAAACATGCATACAGTCCATCTGATGGTAAATGATCGCTGTAGCGTATGGACTCCTGCAACACTAAGTGTGTTACGTGCGCGTTGCCAACCTTGAAGAAACCTTAATATAACTTTTTTTAAGAACTCCAAATATTTTTTAATAAAAAAAACAGTTCACTTGCTGATAATGTAGCTTTATATAGGTGAAAGATTTTTAAAAATCGATAAGTATATCCATTTAAGTTTAATAGTTTAATTTTATATATTACAAACCAAATATCAAGGTTTTTTTTTATACAACTTAGAATGGTAAACAAGCTGACGGCCCACCTGATGGAAAGTGGTAACCGTCACCTATAGACATGAGCAGTACCATGGACATAACATACTGTTTTGCCCATGATACCCCTCATGCGTTGCCATTCCTGAGGAATAACACCTTCCTCTGTACCTAGTAAATTCACGCCATATCCGACCCTTCAAACCTTCAAACACAGCCATGCAAACACAACTGCTTCACGGTAGAAACACGAATGGGACAGAGGTACCCAAGCAATCGACTTTTGTACAAAATCTCCCACTGGTAAAGGTTTGGACAATTTAAGTGACTGCCCAGAATAGAGTAATATATATATATATATATATATAGCACCACCCTCCCCCTAATATGAAGAAGATTTCCGGATGAAGTCGAAACAATTATCGGAAACGACAAACATGGAAAGCACATAAAATTATTTATATATTATACGAGTATAGAGACATTGCCAAAATATAAACATAAGATAATTCAAGATTTATGTCACCATGGGAGTTTTTTATTTCACCGTATCATACGAATCTGTATCATTCTTTGAAGGGAGCAGTAAAGAGTTTTAATTTGGTCATTCATATTTTCTATTTTTATTATTATAACGATTTTAGCTATTAACTGTCCACTGCTGGACATGAGCCTTTCCCACAATTTTGCTATTATACTTCGCGCTTCGTCCTCGAGATTATTATTTGTAGAATATAAACAACATGTAGTAACGCACAAGTGACACCGCCCCTGCACTATTGTTGAGAGAGGGATTCCCCCTTTTTCCTTTTTATTCTTATTCCCCGGTAGGTACATAGTCTACTTAGCCCGTTCATTTCATTTCCTGTTCATTCGCAATTTAGTGCTTCACCGCTCCGCACATAATACATCGCGTTGTCGTGTTAATAAAAAAAAAAAAAAAAAAGATGCCACAAAGGAATAGTAGTGATCTCAACGACCCAACATTCAACATTACATAGTGTCGTTGTAGACCAGGTATTTATTAAAACTATATCTATACACAAAAGTAATTTTTGTCTCCAGAAGAATGCAATCGAGATAGTCATATGGGCTATATCACCGCATTCAAACGAAATGGTTGACGTGCAATTCAGCGGGAATTGTACACAACAGCCGTGTTTCGATAACTTTCGTTATCGCATTTTTAAATAACACCCATAAAAGGATATAATAAATATAAATATAGAATTTCATTTTTAATAAAATATTTTTAAATAAATTATTGGCAATATATATATAAAAGAGAAGTCGTTACTTTTGATTTCAGTTATAGAGAATATTTGATTATAGGGGTGTATTGTATAAACAATAATACTTATTGGAGACAAAAATATTAGGTTTTAACGTATCCACGTTAACAATGTTAGTATGTACCCAGAGCCGTTATCAGGACGAACTCGACACATACTATACTTTTTTATACAATTGCATAAATTTATGCATATACACATCATATATTTATATATTATATGATGCATATGTCGGAGACGCCTCAATTAATAGCGGAATCAGTAGACTGGTTAATAGATCCTCCTGAGGAAGAGATACTAGAACCAGAGACTGTAAACCTTCCATCAGACGATGTAGATGTGATTCACGATGCGTTAACGTATCCAGACGGTAGGGAGTCTGTAGTAAAAAATAATCCGATTACGGATCAAGACGCTGGTCAAAACTGTCCAGGCCCGTCAAATGTGGAGCCTCAGTAGCTAGATACTGAGACTTTAGAAATTCTTGGAGTCGATCCAACGTGTACTAATAATTATGGTAGCGATGTCCATAAAGAATTGCCATTGCGATTTCAACACATCGCCCAAGAAGGAATTAGTAAAGAGCTTAAAAAATAATTAGTAAATAAATACCCACTACCAGCTAACTGCTTACTTGTAGTGCTCCCACAATAAATCCCGAGATAAAAAGCAGAGCTTCCAGAACTAGCTACTACGCGTGATAAAGGTATTGAGATAAAAAAGAAACCAATGGCTTCAGCCATATCTTGTTTAGGTCAAGCTATTTCAACATAGCTTAATTGTAATCAAAAAGATAAAGAACTTTTACAAAAACTGATGGATCTCAGCCGTCTAATGTGTGACATACAGCATAGCGACTCCATGACTAGACGACACTTCATTCTAAGTGCTTTAAAGAAGGATATGAAGGAATATCTTACAAACACAAAAGTTGATACCTTCTTATTTGGCTATAAATTGGCTGAAACAATAAAATCGACCGAAGCTGTTAACAAATCAGACATAGACCTAAAGGTGGTTTCTGATGGTACCAAAAACCTGCCAAGAAGAACCGACATTCTTCCTTCAAGGCCTTTAAACCGGAGAGCTCCAGCACCGGCACGCAAGCAGCCGGGCATGGGAGCGAGATTCCGTCAGCCTGCCGCAGCACGACCCTTGATTCTCCGAACGCAGCCGGCTGGGCACATAGCGACGTCGTGGGGTCCACCACCACCGCAGCCGCCGTCGCCACCTCCTCCGACACAACATCCACGTCGTCGTTACTACGTACGTCGTTACTAGATACGTATATTCCAGTTAAGTATGCAGGTCGTTTAACACACTTTTATGATCAATGGTCTATTATCACAAATGTTCACTTGATCCTTTCAGGGATTAAGGGTTACAAAATAATTTTTTCGTCACCTGTTTATCAAGAATCATACAGATTCAGAAAAATATCAATATATTGATGCAATTAATAATCTTCTACAAATTGACGCTGTTTCAGAGTGTATACCTTATAAGGGCAGTTTATATCTAATATTTTTAATATAATACAAAAACTTAATGGCAAAATGAGGCTCGTATTGAATCTCAAGAGATTAAATAAATTTATCCAGACGGATCATATACGAATAATATTTATTTACGAAGAATTAGATTTACGAACTGCATTAAAATTAATATCAAAAGATTGCTATATGGCAACATTAGACCTTAAAGACGCTTATTTTTTAATAAACATTCATAATGAATCTAAAAAAATATATCCGATTTATTTTTGACAATAAATTATATCAATTTAATGTTTTGCCATTTAGTTTAGCTACCGCACCTTACATTTTTATTAAATTAATGAAGCCGATTACTAGACTTTTAAAAACTGGCGATTTTTTTATTTACCTTATACTTAGATAATGGGTTTTTATTGCGTAATTCTTATCAACAATGCTTGACAAATATTGAGATGACTTCCAAACTACTATCTTCCTCAGGTTTTACAATTAATCAGGATAAAAGTAATCTTGAGCCTTCATTATCTTGTAAATTTATGGGAATAGTTGTAGACTCACACAGTCTACAATTAAGCTTACCATTCGAAAATAGATTACGAATTCGATCTCAATCAGAAAGGTTTTGTCAATATGAACGTATTTTAATCAGGGAATTTGCTCAACTGGTAGCTTTACTTGTGTCGGCTTGTCCAGCCATTGAGTATGGATGATTTTGCACTAAAGAGTTGGAGCGTTCAAAATTTCTTAATCTAAAAAATCATAACGATTATGATAAGTATAGGAATATACCTAGTTCCATATATTCTGACTTTCAATGGTGATTAAATAATATAGATAGCTCTGTGTATCATCGTATCAGAGATGATACGTATGCCATTGAAATTTACTCTGACGCCTCAACTACGGGGTGGAGGGCTAATTATGGTAATAGTATTGCTAGCGACCAATGGTCAGATGATGAACTAAAGCATCATATAAATTATCTGGAGCTTTTCGCTGCGTTTTCTGGCCTTAAAAGTTTTTGCCAGAGATTCACATAATTGCCAAATACTGTCAAATAATACAAATAGACAATACTACTGTAATATCTTACATTAATCGTATGGATGGCATTCAATTTCCTCATCTTACTCAAATAAGTAGAGAGATTTGGCAATGGTGTGAGAACAGAAGGCTCTTTATATTCGCTTCCTATATTAAGTCTACAGATGCTGAATCACGCAAATCCATCCAGATATAGAGTGGGAACTGGCTGATTGGGCCTTTCACCAGTTGACAAAAAAAAAAAAATCGCATAAACAAAAAATGTGAATATATGTCACATGGCATAGGGATCCGGACGTAATTGCTATTAATTCATTCACAATCAATTGAGCAAAAGTTTTACTTTTATGCCTTCCCATCATTTGCAGTGATTCTTAAGACGCTTAGAAAGATCATTTCTGATACAGCTTGCGGTATAATTATTGTTCCTCTATGGCCTACACAACCGTGGTACCCACTATTCAGAAACCTCCTTGTCTCTGAATTAATAACTTTTTATCCTGCGGATAATGTTTTATTATTTAGTTCCAGTTATCAACGTGTAGGCTCAACGTTTACCTTGGTTACAGGAAAGTTATCAGGAAAGCATTATCCAGGAGAATTTTCCACCAGCCTCTTTAGATATAATGTTAGCATCATTCTCTGATAGCTCAATTAGACAATGTGATACTTGTTTAAAAAAGTGGTGGAATTTTTGTAAAAACAATTCAGTTTATTTTTATAAAGCTTCGATTCTTATCATAATTTCTTTTCTTACTCAGATATTCCATGACGGTTATCAATATGGAACATTAAATTCAATAAAGTTCGGCGTTATCCTTGCTTTTAGGTCCTATTTTATCAAAAGATGATAGTATAGAAAAATTTTTCAATGGAGTATATCGATTGAGACCTCCTCTTCCGAAGTATAACGCTACATGAGATACCAATGCTGTTTTAAATCATTTAAGCACATTGTGGCCTAATGAAGAATTATCATTAGATAAATTAACAAAGAGAACCATTACCTTAACAGCAATAACGATAGCTCATAGAATACAAACTCTATCCAAAATTGATATAAAAAATATAGAATTTTTCAATGACCACATAGTAATTAAAATTCCTGACTTCCTTAAAACGTCACGAAGAGGTTCTAAGCAACCGATTATTGTTCTTCCTTTATTCTTAGAAAACTCTGCTATCAGTCCAGCAAAAACTTCAGATTGTCATTTAAATAGAACAATTCTTCTAAGGAATTCTGATAATCTTTTTAGTGGTGTCTGTCGACCTCACAAAGCGGTAGACAAACTATTAGCCGATGGGTGAAACTGACATTAGACGAATGTGGACTGGACGTACATATTTGTACTCTCTGCGCACAGCACGCGACATGCCGCCGCGTCCCGGGCACGCTCTCTAGGTGTCAGTGTAAATACAATACTTAAATGGAGCTGCTGCGGCTGGAATGCCAACTCCACTGCTTTCGCCAAATTTTACAGTAGGCCTATGATTAATACAGATAATTCGTCCTTTGCTAAGCCGATAATTAATAATAATCAAAAATAATTTTATGTTTATCGAATTGTGTGATGATTAAAAAAGATTATGTACTATTATAGATTAATAGTAGAATAACATAATGTCGATTAATTTTTAGTTCTATTTGTTCACTTTGTAATCCAATAAAACATACAATTATAAAAGAAGTGTTTTCATTGATAATATTTTTTGGTTGGAACTCTCAAAATCTACATGTTGTTTATATTCTACAAATAATAATCTCGAGGACGAAGCGCGAAGTATAATTAGTGATTAAACGAACTTACCCAAGTGAAGTTCTATCACAATTATACGAAGCGCTTCGTCCGAAGAGATTAGTACGTACTCCCTCCCGACCCAGTTTAATTATACCCATCAGAACTATACCAAAAAATATTTCAATGGTCAAACATAAGTTTTAATAATTTTTAACTCTGAACTTAATGAACAGGAAATGAAATGAACGGGCTAAGTAGACTATGTACCTACCGGGGAATAAGAATAAAAAGGAAAAAGGGGGAATCCCTCTCTCAACAATAGTGCAGGGGCGGTGTCACTTGTGCGTTACTACATGTTGTTTATATTCTACAAATAATAATCTCGAGGACGAAGCGCTTCGTATAATTGTGATAGAACTTCACTTGGGTAAGTTCGTTTAATCACTAAGTAGTTGCCACGCTTGGCAACGCTTGGCTGGTTGACAACTGCGGTTAGGCTTTTAGAAATGTTTTAAAAGGGATGCTGCTGCCTTTCCCTCGCCCCTCCTTAATCGCCTCTTATGAAACCCACGGGAAAGGAAGAGGTAGCTCATTAAAAAATTGTTCAAGTATATATTTTCTATATGCCTGTACAAATTTTGACGTATATGGTATCGTTATAATTCTTATGCCTTCGATAGATATTTTTTTAAACATATTATCATGATGTTTGTACGTACTACTTTAAAATGCGAAAAAAAATTGTTACAGGTACAAATATTAAATGGAATAAAAAGGGACATAGGCTTTTTATCCGGGTCAACTAAATATATCCCGGCCACGGACAGAATCGTGGGTAAAAACTAGTTAATTAATATTATTAATCATTCAATATAATTTAAGTGAACGACCGGCGAGCCCGGACAGGGACGGGTCCACATTATCCCCACTTTAGGGGGAAAACTCAATTTTCCCAACCGTAACCCGGTGTCTGGACCTTTTTATACGCCACTTCCACTGTCCTCATGTGTGCACATGAATTTGTAATACATTGGGTGTTACTGAGTTTAACAGGCGCACAATAACCGTTACTAACAATTGTGTAAAAAAAAAAAATCAAATTCAAATCATCTTTTTTCAAATTGACTTATTTAGAAGCACTTTTTTTACGTCATTTTTTATAAATCTACTGCAGAGTTTGTAAAACTGTTATCAACTGAGAGGAAGGAGCCTTCAAGAAACTCAACATTTACTCTTTCGAATCTCTGTTAACATTGTGTGTATTTTTTTATACAACTTAGAATGGCAAACAAGCTGACGTACCACCTGATGGAAAGTGGTAACCGTCGCCTATAGACATGAGCAGTACCATGGACATAACAGAGTATGTTGTATCTCACCCTTCAAACCGAAACACAGTCAAGCAAACACAATTGCTTCACGATAGAAATACAAATGGGACAGAGGTGTCCAAGCAAACGACTTATACTTTATAAATAAATATATACTATAACAAACAATCAACTATCTTAGAAGAGCAAATGAAACAATCTATGACCCAAACAAAATAACCAGCAAGATTAAGTTTAAAAGGAAATTGAGAAAAAACAACAAAAAAAGGGAATGAAGTTTATAAAACGGCCTTTTTTTAAGAAATAGAAACGCAATTTATGTTTAAAAGCTAGTCTGCTTAGGATAAATCTTATATCGAGCGAGAGTTCGTACTTTTCACTTTGCTAATTCTTTCAAATTTTTAACCGATCCCCAAAATGTTGTTGGAATTGATCAAGCAAGCGTGGCAGTTACTGGTAAAACCTTCGTTATGGGTAAAGCTTATGTTCAACAGTTCACGGTTTTTTTTTTTTGATGTGTGAAAATGGTATGGTAACCCCGCCCGCGCTAACGGGATACGCTGGCGGAGCACCAGTGAAGGGTGATAGATGAGAATGAAAACATGCCAGTTAGCCCATCATGGTGAATTCATTAGGAATAATACCATGATAGTTTCCAGGGGGAACCGCGAGGAGGTCGACCTGGTTGGGTATATTGCTAGCAATGGGATTCTCAGTCTCCATTACTAACTATCCCTTTCCCCCCAACAGTTCACGGTTATCCGTGGATAGGATAATGATGATATTAAAGCAGACTACAATATTTTTTCTTCACATCTGTCAGTTATTTTCAGTTTGTGAGTACTTGAGTACGTTACACTACATCAACGTCGAAAGAAGAGAACATTTCTCCTCTCTCAGTTGGTTAAAAGTACATTTATCTATATAAATAAAGCCTTCACATGTCCTAGAAATGGCACAGCCAAACCGTGCATTCTTGCTGGAACAGAAACAAATAACCGGGCTCCTGAAAAATGACCTTCACTGGCGCCATTACTCGAGCAAGAAAAGGACCACCCCTCATTTATAATTGGCGAAATACACATACTACTTTTGGCATGCTAAAATAGATCTTGACGTTAAGTCGATAATGTTAAAAATTGTTATCCAAAAAAAATACACCGTACGGATTTTAATAAAATTCCTATGGTACGATCTTGAAGTATATCCTTTCAGATAAAAAACCCGAATCTGTTTATATATAACGAAGTTATGAAATAAGAAACATAAAATAAGCCCTCGA